TCTAATTACATTCATTGCCTGGCGTATAAAGGTGCTTAATTATTCATATTTTTTGTTTGTATTTATCTAAGACACAAAAGCTGAGAAGCAGGAAAAGAGAGCTCATTCTTTCTGAAGTCCAGAGGCTGTTTCTAAGTTACAGTGCATCAAACCTTACAGACAAATTTGTTTAATAAAACATTACAATTATTACTGGGTGCCAGTGGCTTATACCTGTAATTGCAGCTGCTCAAGAGAGTGATATCTGGAGGATTGAGGTTCAAATCCAGCCTGGTCACAAGCTGTACTGTATATCCAAAATAGCCAGCAAAATAGCCAGCTATGGTTCAAGTGGTAGAGTGCTGGTTGAGCAAATGAGCCAAGCCAGCATGAGGCCATGGGTTCCAAATCCCAGCACCAGAGACACACAAAAAAGGTTACAGTTATCTCACAAACACAATAACTATATGAAAACTTGTTAACTTGTGTCACAAAGTTATGGATTGAATTAGTATGTTTCTAAGCTTTCTTTCTTCATTTGCAGTTCTGGAAAAGTTGAATCTATTTTGTAGTAGAAAGGAAGACTTCCTAAATAGCCTGTGAAGAGCTAAGGTCTTAGCTCAGTTTCATGAGAAGAGACACAAGTAATAATGACTATTTTGAGCTAATTTTTAGCCATGGAAACTAAGTACTCAGTAATGACTGAATCCCTGCTGCAATGCCACTTCCATGCTTCGATGCTGATCAGCTAGGATGCTGTTCCCTTGGGCAACTAGCCTCTCCTGCTGAGGTTGAAGGGAAAGGAATTACCAAGGAGATAGACAGTAGAGACTTTGAAGGAGGTATATGAGAGAAATCTTGAAGATTCATTGACCATATTACTTTGGGGCACATAAAAAGTGATGTGGAAAAGGAATCAAGCTTCCTATACTAGAGAATACAAGAAATGATATGCATTCCTACACGGTAAGAGTTTGGTTGGCTCTTGACTATTTCAATCTCTCTGTTCAGCTCGAAAGTCAGGAGCATCTGAAAATTTCATTGATCAAGTTCACTGGGTGGCCTCCACATACTGGAACCGTGGTCTCCCCTCATTGTGACCAAAGATGTGCGCTATTCTTGGCTTCGGCCAAAAAGAGAGTGAATGAATGGTTTCTGGGAGGGCTCTGACAAAGGTTCAGAATAGCCCTGAAGGAGTTGGTGGGGAGATAGGACGGAATTCCAGGCCCTCAATATTAACAACCTATCATCTACACCATTAACAATTTTTTATGGATGTCCATCACCTGAGGAGGAATGTTATACTTTAATTATTATTAGAACAATTATAAAGCTACATTACTACTCTACTGGAACTTAATCTGGAAAAGAAAAAAACAGTGGAAAATGCAATTTATTCTGTCATGCAACAGTCATGTACAGATGCTAACAACACATAAAAAGAAATTATTTTAAATTATATTTTATTTTGTAATTGATATAAACCAGAACATCTGGCTTATACTTTGTAGGTTCAGACTATAATTAGAATGTGAGAACAGAAACGACGCAAGACATTATCTATTTTTTTCTACTTTTAAGTTGGAAGCTGCTGTAACATCTTGGTCAAGAAGAGATAATTAAATATAAGAATGGGATGGCTTTGACCACACACCTGCAATTTATTGGCCTTTTACTTGTCTATCCTCAGGCAAATTGTACTTAGCTTTTTTCACCTTTATTTTTTCTGTTTGTAAAAGAGTAATAATAGAAAGAATACACTATAGAATTATTGTAGGAAAACAAAGGAGGAGGCAACAATGCTCAATAGAAAATGTACTCATTACCTTGCTCATGTAACTGTAACCTCTCTGTACAGCATTTTTACAATAAAAACATACAAAAATATTAAATCACAAAAAAGAATTATTGTAACATCAGTTGATGCTGTATACCGGGTATTTGCCACAGTACTTTCAATTTATGTGACGAAAGGTTAGTTTATATTTGTCTAGAATTCACATTGATCTTTAATAACTATGCATAAAAGTAGAACTAGGGTCCCTGTACTTTAGACATACAATAGTTTTTTAATTAACCACATGACCAAAAGACTAACTTCTTGAATCAGAACCTTTGTGCCATATGGGTGCCGGAGATAAAGCTAAAAAGCAGAGTGTTTAGTTACTTCTCTAGCTTGAAGAAATTTTAGAACACCTTTCTATTAGCCTAGGAAGAATAAATGGGGGAAGGGGCCACTATAAAATGTGCACCTGTCACAAACTATATCAATATCCCTGACAAGAGTCAGGGTCAAGGTTGTCTCAGATACAGGAGACATCAGGGTAGTAGTGCATCTGCTCTCTATAAATATATAATTAAGTGATTATGTAAAATACTTTAGCTTCTTTTAGTTTCAGAGGCCTGGGAATTCTTAGAGTATTTTAAAACACAGTCCTGAGATAATGGAAATAAAAGTTATCTTCTAAGCTATGACAAGCACATTTCTCTTTAGTTAACTTAATCTATACTCTGGTGGCATGTGGACCGATTATTCCTTTAAATATGTGGGATAATAACTAAGAAGTTAAAAGAAGCATATGAGAAATTTTCTAATTTTCTGATATCATAAAGAGTCAAACACTGTCTAAAATTGTTCCAGAATCATCATTTATGTTCCTCAAGGTACTACAATATGAGAGTTCTAAAGTTAGGACATAATTTTTTTACTGTTGCTCAAGGAATCACCTCTAGATGAGCAATAGCATCTTTTCAAATGCATTTGTGGAGGGGCAATGACCTCAGTGACTTGGAGAAACTTAAATAGAATAATGTAGCTTGTGACTCATGCCATTGTTACTTTTCTCGAGGAAAACAAAGCTTCCCTTTGTCTTCCCTGTCTCCTCCTTTCACTTCCATTGAACGAATTAGAATTCTACCTCAGATTAAAAAAAAAAAAAAAGAAAGAGGCCAGGAAGCGGAATAGATAAGAAATGACTAAGTAGAAGCAGGTGGATCTGCCAACAGAAAATGAGGCTATAGGGAGAAAATTAACAGGAGTCAAGATACCATTGGCATAGACCCAAATTCTAGTTTTTAAATAACCATGGGTTAAACTTGCTGTACATGCTAAAACAATTGCCTACCTTGACTATGAAAGTCTGGTGGAGTACTTTAGATCAGTTGGTGATCTATTTGAGTTTTACACATGGAAACCACAGCAACTTCAGCATACTATAGATGCTTCTAATACTCGCATTTCCAAACCACGGGCAAGATAGCTTTGGGAACCACATACACTCACAAAGGTGGCACAGAATAGTTTAAATATTTTCTTTTTGTATGAGTACTGGAGCTTGAACTTGGGGTTTGGGTGCTGTCCTTTGGCTTTATCACTCAAGGCTGGGCCCCAACTTCATTTCTGGCTTTTTGCTGGTTAACTGGAACATCAAACCTCAGATCTCAACCCCCTCAACAGTTGAAGTCTTGAGCCACCAGTGCCCAGGAGAAATAGTTTAAATTTTGAAGAGAAGCAACACAAATGATATTTTCCAGGTAACTAGAAACGATAAGTTAGATGTAGCTTGCATGTTTAAAATGTTCTCATTTGGCTCTATTCCTCTAAATGAAAGTATAACTTTGCCACACTGTTGAATGTGAAAAATCAATTTGGGAAAGGAATATCTCTGACTAGTCTGATTATAAGATTTTAGAAGTTCTTGTTAAAAAGTAATTTGTTTGGGAGAGTTTGGGGGAGGGAAAGGGATGGTATGGGAAAAACAAAGGAGGGGATAACAATGCTCAATAGCAAATGGACTCATTACCTTGCTCATGTAACTGTAACCCCTCTGTACAGTAACTTTACAATAAAAATATTTAAAATAAAAAAGTAATTTACTAAAAATGACATGAAGGCATATCTATATATTCACTTGTATAATTTCTTAACTAGTTAGAGTTGCTAGCCAAAAATCAAATAAGTTATTTGGACTTTGCAACTTTCAGTATTTCTTTGTCCCCAGGAATACCTTGGAAAGAACCTCTAAGACAAGCAGGAGCCACAAACTGAGAAAGTCTGATGTGTTCTAACATTTGGAGAATGTATAAATAGGTGCCAACTTCAGAAACAAGTGACGTTTTGTTCGTTTTCATATCTAGCATGAGCTAATGCTTCGGAAGATGGAGTTCTGAAAGACTGCCTTTAAAAATATGACCCAGAGCTTTTGCTAACCCTCGGGCAGCAATTCAGTTATCCCTCAGCTAAAGCAGAGACCCCCACAAAGGTACACTCCAGAGGAGGGAAAGAGAAACAAAGCCCCTTGTTTTGGTCTCCTCTCCTTCCCTGTTTAGGTTTTAGCTATTAGACTGGAAAGATATCTAAAGATATCTATTAGACTGCCAGACCAATTGCTATTTTTCAATCACTCCTTAACATGGTTATAGAGATCAACCTGTAGAACTAGTCTATTTGTACAAAGTGAAGGCATAATTTTGTTTCTTTTCTAGCTGCATGAATTACATAAAAATAAGCTATTTTTAGTTTTAAAAAATTGTACAGTGTCCTGTAGGTCATCAAAGAGTTATTTAGCTAGGCATTTGTGACTCACACCTGTAATCCAAGCTACTAAGGAAGCTGAGGATCTTGATATGAAGCCAGCCCAGGAAGGAAAAGTTCAGGAGACTCTTTGTCTATCATTAACTAGCCAAAAATCAAAAGTGGAGGTGTGGCTCAAGTTGTAGAGTACGAGTCTTGAGCAAAATGTTAAGTGAGAACATGAAGCCCAGAATCAAGTCCTAGTTCCAGCACAAAAGAAAATAGAAGAGTCATCTATTAAATTATCAAAGTCTTTTAGCCATCAATTTTATTGAATATAATTTACAGACTGTATTGCTTCATACATTTCCATCCATGATTTATCCTGGCTTTCTGTATGTGTGGCTTCTCTCCGTAAGTTACTGGGACAAGAATAACTAGATTGCCAATTCAAGCTTGTGGATTTCACCCAGAGTCATCATTATGAAAGGAATCATTGCTACATTACCATGGTTGTTGACTTGATGTAGACATTGTTTTTCAGGTGGCAGTTTCCGTCATTGGGCACCACGATGCCTGCCAACTTGCTATCAAGAGCAAGATGAGATGTCTGATCTGTCATCACCAGCAGCAATCTTTTAGCTTCTTTTCGCCATCCAATGTGACTCTTGAAATAAACATGCATCATTAGACCTTGTACAATCACATAGATCTGTCCTGTGTTCTTTGCCTCAAGAAAACAATGTTTGAATTGACAAACATGAAGCGAGGATATGTGAGGATAAGAGTTCAAAGCGGCTTGCTCAACAGGGTCCACAATTATCTGTACATCCTCTATTTCACCACTGTCATTGAGCCCAGACTGCTAGTGTTGTACTGGAGGAAGCATAAGGACTCAAGAAGGAACATACGTGATGTATCGTGGGATAGCGTGGTTCTCCCGTGGGATGAACAGCCCTTTTGGATTTTAGTTATGTCCATGTGCTCAAGTTGCTCTTGCCTTTTGTTAAAAAATATTTTCCCAGTTTCATCCCTCTCATCTGTACTAAGTGAGTCATATGTGTGATGAGTTCATGGTAGAGGGGTGCATATTCTTCCAAACTATGTTTCACCTCACAGACCAGAGAGAAAATAAAATCTCTTCATTCTTTCAGAGCATTGCATCTGAGCACTCAAACCTTTATTGACCTGACACATCTTACCTCACACACAGCTGCCTGCAGCATGGCATCAAACCCTCCTTCAGGGGTATCTATGTTTCCGGAGATCTTTTGTCTGTGCACTGCTTTTTCAAACTCCGTGATGTTTTCTGTCAAGGATAGGACATGGATGTAGCCATGAGGAGGCATACAGTCTAAATTGTAGTCACTGCATTGGAAAAGAAATGCAAAGTGTGTTTTTCTATGTAAACTTGAGAGTTTCAGAGCATAGCTAAAATTATTCAGTTAAACCGAGAAAGAAGTAGGTATTTTTTTGGGGGGATAGGGAAATTTAATAACACAAAAATCTGAAAAATTAGAGGATAAATTTAATCTTGCTGAATACTTCTTTGGAGTAAGAAATAAAGCCATAATGTTTAATGTTTCAAAAATGAAGATTAAATATATTTCATTAAATGAGACAACTAGGGATATTCAATGTGCAAATAAGGAGGAATATAAGAAGTTGGAGTAATTTCCTGTTACAGTTGGCCAAAAACCATCTGAAAATCACATTTTGGGAAATATTTGTGAGAATTAACTGAACTATATTATTGTTTCTTACTGTTTTTGTTTGTTTGTTTGTTTTTCCAGTCCTGGGGCTCAAACTCTGGGCCTAGGCACTGTCCTTGAGCTCATTTTTGCTCAAGGCTAGCTTTCTACCACATGAGCCACAGTGCCACTTGTTGCTTTTTCTATGATTAATTGGAAATAAGAACCATGATCTTCAGACCTCAGCCTCCAGAGTAGCTAGGATTACAGGCATGAGCCACCAGCACCTAGCTCTCACTGTTTTTTTAAAACGATGTTTAGACTAGACTTACAGTGAGCTATTAAAATTCATGAAAACTGCTTTCCTGACAGCTCAAAATGAAGTAAGATCACCTTCAAGGGAAGGTTCAAGCTGGGCATGATGACACAGATTTGTAATCCCAGCAGTTGGGAGCCTGTAGCAGGAGACCACAGCTCAAGGTCAGCCTTGGTTACATAGTGAGATCTTGTGTCCAAAAAGAAAAAAAAATGAGAGCAGAGGAAGTTGATAAAGTTGCCACTAGGAGATAAATCAAGTCTCTTCTGGTAAGATAGGTAGTTTTAGTAAGTTGGAATATGTAGTAGAAGATGACTTGAGCAATTTATGGTAGCAGAAAATATGTTAAATTAACATGATTTATATAACAATAACTACACAGATTTATTTCTCTGAAAATTCAATATGCTAAAGGTAGTATCATGAGAGAACTTGTATATCTAAGATTTGTTCTCTTCCTGGTAGGACAAGTGCTATTTGGAGTCAGAAGTGCAACATGGTAGGAAAAAAGGGTTCTTTGTAAATCATCAGTTTCTCCTCTTTTGATTCACTCCATGAGATAGCCAGGCTTTCTTCATGATCAAATCACAAAAACTTAATTGTGACAGAGATGGAGAGATAGATAATTAACATGATAAATACGTTAATTTTTGTCAGGCTTGAAGTCAATAATTTTGAAGCAAACCAAAAGGAGAAATTAGTAATTTCCACAAAGGTATTTGTAAACATAATAGCATGGTCAGTAGATGTTTATCTAGAGTTTATACCAATATTATTTAGGTTTTGTGTTCTGTGACAAAAAGTGAAGAAATAACATTAGAAGAAATAGAATATATGAAACCCGAGCTACAAAGAAAAGTTTTCAGATAGAAACAGTCTTCTTGCTCGCATGCTTTGGATTCCGATTCATAAAACAAAATTCCATACTCTGGTAAATTTGTTATAGAAAAACTAGATGTAACAAAAAATAGTGATCTACTAGTATCCACATCAAGTAGCAGATACCTGCATTGATTATGAATCCTTTCTGGGTGGATGCTAATGTATGGTGAAACAGTTTTATCAACATATGACCCAAATCCAAGGCGGAAGTCATGGGAGAAAAATGCCATTTTTCTAGATAAGTCATTTCCAACAGAATTTAATTTTTCTATATTATTGTGCATTGATGCTGATACATCAACAAGATAATAAAGATCCACAGGATATTTCTTCAAAGGGTGAATTTTCAGCATAAAATTAGCTTCAGCTCCTGGTTCAAAGAAAGAAAAGCATCACATAGTTTTTATTTTATGTATCTCAGCATGAACTGTCAATAAGTCACATTTCAGCATTTAGAGAAATTTACACATTATGAGACTTGGAATATTATGAAATAATTAATCATATATTTTTCAAAATTAGTTTCTTAGTTTCAAGTTCTATGATGGATTTCCCATAATCCTGCAGACTAGCTAGACTTAATAATAAACGCACTAGCTCCATACAAATCTAAGTATTGTCACATACACCTGAATTGTCCATGGCCCTCAGTAGTTAGAAAAGCTGAATATAAAGCATATGTTGTCTCCAGAAGGTATAAGGGGCTATGGGATGGTTTTATGCAAACCAGAAAAATTAAATTTTATCGAAGGCATATATATATATATATATATATATATATATATATATATACATATATATGTATATATTCGTTCTTTTGGTTTAATGTGTATTTACAGATGATGTGAAAACTCTGGTTCTGACCAGTACAGTAAACTTTAAAAATAGTGAATATATCATTATACCCAAATGATGTGGTAATTTCCCCAGGACAACTGTCTACAGTTTCCTATTTCAGTTCTCTGTCACATAATAATTTCAAACAAGGACCTCACTATTCCCTTAGGAGCCCAAAGCATTGGTACGTCTACTTTTATTTTTAAAATATGTTGAAAAAAGTCACTTATAGTTTGTGAATTTCACTTTAAAACTCTAAATCAAATGATTTTATGTCATTAGCTATTTTTGTCCATGGAAAATATTTTGAATGGGAAGTATTTAAAACAAATAAATGAGTTGTATATGTAATTGGTAGGCCAATTTCCTTATTAAGAGAAACTTCTAATTTATCAACTCTTACTGTAGCAGTATTTTCCCTTAATTCATTCCACAAATTGTTTTTCTACTGAATTACTTAACCTATCAAAATACTCAGGGTTTACTGGCCTATAATACTACTTTGGAAGGAAGAATGCGCTTCATGTGTAGGGAATCGCTTTAAGGTAATGCTCATCATTTTGTAGCTCAAGGACTTAGAAGGAGAAATTCAGCATGCATAACCCAGCTAAACCTATTTTTTTCTCAATCTTTCCCTTTTGAAACCATAAATTCTGCTCAGTTTTGAGCTGCTGTGAAAAGTTCAGTTCCTTTGGAAGTGTTCTGCACCATAGGAAGGGAAATTAAATTTGTGAGAATGTTAGAAAATGGCACAGAAACAGGCTAGATTCATGAGAAATATACATACAGCACAGTTGAGGAGTGCAATTCACTTGAAGGGGCTTGAATTTCAATGTATTGGTCAACATTTAAAAATAAATATATAGTATATATGAAAATATATTTTATATTTGGTATATATATGTGGTATACATAATATGAACTGTTACCTCAGTGCCTTCTGCACTGACCACATGGTATTTTTATCTTGGTTAATCATTGCCATGTATTGTGACTCTGTGTAAAGACAAGAGGTTATCTGCTTTCATAGAAGCCTTGCTAGATGCACCCCTTATTCAGCATACTGTGCTGGAATCTCAGCAAAAGTATGAGTTGGTGAGTTCAGCAAAAAGGCACAGTCTATGTAGCATCAGCAAAGGTAGAGTCCTTGGAGGCCTAAGCTATTCAGGGTGCTCTAACCAAATGCTGGTCACACAGGGAATGTCAGCAGACATCAGCTGTTCTTCACAGCCAAGTCAGCATTTTCTAATGTCATTGGCGTCAGCAAAGAGGAAGAGGCTGGGAGGAAGCTTGTGAAAAGGTCAGGTATGAGAATGTCTATGTTGCTGTGGCCTAGCTTTGAATTTCCTAGGTGCTGGCCTTACCACAGGCACCTGGGGCAGCTGAAGTTCTGAGTCTGAGCTGAGACATTGGAAGAACAAGCTGTCAATAAAAGGAGACAGGGAGCTTTTCTATACACTGGCCTTTTAGTACTTGCTGGAGAGAAGAGAGTAATTGCTAGACTTAACTTGTGAAGCCCCTAATATCCCATTAAGTTCTAGTTTTAAGTTGCCCATTCAAAGTAGATAGAGACAGGGTGCTTTTTAGATACCACCTTCTTTGTTAAAGGAGGAAATGGAAGGGTTCAAGCATGAATTACTACGTCTTGTCCATGTAAGCTAGAGACATAGTCCACAATGTGCTTGCAAACTGACTTTAGAGTGGATTATTATATACAAGGGACTTAAAAAATTTAAATATATATTTTTTATTGTAAAGATATTGTACAGAGGGGTTACAGTTACATGAGGTAATGAGTACGTTTCCTATCGAGCACTGTTACCCTCTCCTTTGTTTTTCCCCTACCATCCCTTCCCTCCCCATCTTCCCAACTCCCACCCCCCCAAAAAAGCTGTAAAGTTCATTTTAAACATAGTGTCTTATACATATCACTGTTACAATGGGTCAACTTCTATCATTATTTCAGCATTTTGTTATTCCCCTTCCCCTTCCCAAATTAGAAAAATGTATATACAAGATGCAGTGCACAGGAATCAAATACACTGAAAACAGGGGGAGGAGCATACAAGAAAAACCAAAAAAAATCACATAGTACATTATAAGTACATTAAAAATAACAGCAACAAAGATAAAACCTCTTGTGTAAGGGACAAAAATCTTAAAGACAGGCTTTATAGACAATTGGTATTCCATAGTAAGAGGTAGTAGAAATACTTTCTCATGGCAATATGGATAAGGATAAGGCTTCACTACATAAAACCTCTGCTTTCCTCGTACTGGGGTGTAATCAATATAGAGCTCAAGGCTGGATGATATTAAAGAGGGTTTCATTACATTAGTAACCATTATGAGGTCATTATTGACTGGGTAATGACCAGTGTGAGGCAATTGGTGAAACAAATATCGTGGATGCTAAAGAAAGAAAGGAAGGCAAAGTCTGGTTGTGCCCATAGATTTTACAAAACTGGACTAAACTGATAAAAGCAAGAAAAAATAAACCTTGAATATTCTCCTAAAATATCACCCGTTCTCTGCGAAGGTTTGGAAACTGCCTTTACAGGAACCCAGTACTGTGATCATACTGTGTAGTATCATATTCCTACTTTTTAAAGAGTAGCATACATCAAAAAAAAAAAAGTAGCATACACTCAGCCTTGCAATCAAATTGAAATCTTGTCAGAATCTTGAGGGAAGTCTACTAGTCCAGTCAAATAAAACACAAAAGTTTAGCTGAAGAGAGAGCCCAGATCTACTGGGTCCTGGTGGCTCATATCTATAATCCTAGCTACTCAGCAGGTTGAGGTTTGAGCATAAAGATTCAGAGCAATCCAAGGCAGAGAAAACCACTCGACTCATAATCAGTTAACCAGCAAAAAGCTGGAAGTAAAGGTATAGCTCAAGGGATGGAACACTGGCCAGGAGTAGAAAAAGCCAAATGGGATTGAGAGTCCCTGAGTTTAAGTTCCAAAAGATCTCAGTTCCACCCTTATACTGAGAGTCTGAGATAAAGTAAATCCAAAAGTTGAGGATGATAAAAACTTTATATTTCCATTAAAAATTTCACACATACAATCAAGTAATTTGAGGCTAGACAAGCATCCAATGCATATCCTACAGAATTAAGAAAACTGAGGGATGACTAGGTAGGGGATGACACTGATCAAAATGAACTGTATTTATAACTTTTTGTTAAATGACAACTCCTTTGTACAATGACTGAAAGGTAATAATAATAATGATTTTGGGTGTTGGGTATGTTTGCATTCTGATTTAAGGAGCAAATTTAGTTTTTGAACTCCATTTTCAGTAATGATGTAAGGTTTATTTGCTATAATCTGGGATATTTTAGAGATTATTATTGAATACGTTAGTTTTTTATGTAAACTCATTATACAACCACTTAGAAACTATATTGGACTCGGTGCAGAGACATGATTCGGAAAGAGTGTAAACATGAGCTCAGAGTGGCGCTGGGCATTATTTGAAGAAGTGTTATGATCCATTTTGAGGTCTTTGCTCTTCATTAATGGTCCAGGGTTGTTACCAAAGACACTAGAGTGGCCACATGAAAATGAGATCAGAGCTGTCCTAACACACCACTAAACACTGCCTGTGTTTAGGAATATTTCCAGGAATTTAGACCAAAGAGACTAAAAACATTGGGAAAGGAAAGGGAATGAATACATGAGTACTCTCCATTCTTGATCATTCTTCCTGCAAGAATAATCTTTTTTCTCCACACTTGTCCTTTCCAGTGATAATTTGATTGATTGATAAGGCAATTTTTAATCTGATGAATTACATTACTTTTCATTCTAGATATGAGCCACCAGGACCCAGTGAAGCTGGGCTTCTTCTTCAGCTAAACTTTGAGCTTTATTTGACTGGACTGGTAGACCTACGCCCAATACATTTTGATTACTTTAAAGCTATCTATACTCCTCAAAGTATCAGCCATTATTCAAGTTATATTCAATTGTATTTTCTCTGTAAATAAAGACAAACTTGGCCTGTGCATTCTTTCCCGCTGCTTTCAGTTGTAAGCCTGTAATGGGTTGACTTTTAGATTTAATTTTAATGGAAGATCTAAGTCAATGTGCCCTTTTTATCTTACATAACTTTAATTAAAGATACTTCTGTTAACTTTAGGAGTTTGAAGATAAAGGGAAATGATCCCCTAGTTGTGTTTCTACTATCTTGTTTCTTTTATTTTTATTTTTGTGCCAGGACTAGGGCCTAAATTAGGGGCCTGGGAACTGTCATTTAGCAATTTCTCTCAAGGCTGCTGCTCTACATCTTGAGCCACTTTCAGCTTTTTGCAGGTTAACTGAAAGTAAGAGTCTCATGGACTTTTCTGCTTTGAACTATAACCCTCAGATCACAGCATCCTGAATTACAGGTGTGAGCCATCAGCCTCTGTTTTCCTTTCTGCTTTCTTTACTAAGCCCTGAAACCCACAAGTGATTTTCTAGAATAACAAATGAAGTGGTTTAAAGTTTTTCTTTTTATAAAAAATTCATTTTTTTGTATCCT